TTCTATCATGATTCTCATTTAGAAAACTAAATTTCTTAAACATTCCCTTATATGTTTTTAATTTTACAGGATAAGTCTCTAAGATAAAAAGGAGCTTCAACTTTTATACACATGGTGACAATGAATAAAAATTTAAATCTTAGATCTCTTTAAAAATAATAGAACAATTTAGACAAAGGTGACATAGCACAGGAGTGACAAGTAATTCAGACTTTGAACCCTGGCCGGTGTGGCTCAGTTGGTTGTGTGCTGTCCTGTGCACTGAAAGGTTGCCAGTTCTATTGCCATATCAGGGGTTTTGGACTCCATCCCTGGTAGGGGGCATGCAGGAGGCAGCCAATTGATGCTTTATTCTCATATCATGTTTCTCTCTCTCTCTCCCTCTCCCTTCCTCTATCTCTAAAACCAATCTAACAAAAAAAAAAATCTTAAAAAGAAAAAAAAAAAGAATACAGACTGGATCCAGAGAGACCTCAGTTAAAAATATTGAAATCCTATTTAACAGTTCTGTGGTTGAAGGGAACTGTTTAATTTTAAAGTCAGGTGTAATGTATCTTAGTGATAAAATGAAGTAAATAAGTGATTTTAAAGTGTTTGTCATGGTAGCTGGCTGATGATAATAATAAGATCAAAAGCAACATTTGGTGAGTGCCTACTATGTGCCAGACACTCTCTAAGTAGTGTACATGTATTATACCATCTAATTAGTACAGAAATACTATGAGATAAATATTATTATTACCTCTATTTTATAGATGCAGACCTGAGACAGAGGGGTTAACTTAATCAAGATCATATAGCTATTAAATGAAAGGGCTGCGATTAAAACCCAGGTATTCTAATGTCCAGATTCTTAAAAATAAGTCAGCCTGCCCTTCCCTCTTCCCCTCTCTCTCTGAGTGGGAGTACTCGGCTAAATGTCCGGGGTCTCACTGTATCTCATCTTCGGGAATTTGAATTCCTGTTGCAGAGTAAGAGTAAATAACAAATAATTAGAACTCAGGTCCCCTAGGAGAGTGACCATACATATATGTGTATATGTGTGTGTGTGTATATATATATATGTGTGTGTATACATATATACACATAATCATGTTTTACTGACCTTTGTTTCCTATCACCTATTATGATGCACATAGTAGACACTCAATTAAAATTAACTGCATTGCCCTAAACTGAAAGAGAAAAATTCCCCTGCTTTATTATAGGCCAATCACTTTTGTGGAAGATTCTAGTAGCACCTGAAGAGAACGCATCCCCTTCTCGAGGCAAGGAAAACAAATCCCCTTGCATTAACCGCTGAATTGCATCTCCCCTTCCAACCCCATACTTCACAGGGGCCGAGCCTCTCCAAGGAAGACAGGCCGAGCAGGCCCATCTATCAGCCAGGCGGCGGGTGCACGCCGGGCGCAGATGAATCTGAGCGCCGGGGCTTCAAGCGATGCGCGGGGATGGCAGAAACAATTGCAAAACCTGCGGCCGTGAGGTTACTCGGCTAATGAGGCGGAGGCCGCTCCTGAGACCCTGAAACGGCGCGCGGTGCGCCCAGGGGCCGCGG